CACCCACACCGCCACCCACACCGCCACCCACACCGCCACCCTCCGTATGCCCCTCTGTATCGCGCCGCCGCTCTTCGCCTCCGCGCTGCGCGCCGACGCCCACCTGCTTCATCTCAGCGACCGAACGAGCGACACACAATGTCGATGCGCCCCCGCGCGACGCAGGCACGTCACCCACGCCCTCGTGGGCGTCTGCCGCCTTGCTTATGGCGATGCTTCGGGGCCGATTTTTCCCCTGCAGTACGCGCTTCGAACAGAGGAAAAGCTGCTTTTGTGGAGAATGTCGAGATAGTTTGAGCATAATTCTATGGCTATGGTCTGTGTATGGAATACAATAAAAATAAAGCACGCGAAATTGTTTGTGTGTCCCTGGATCCACATTTCATATTCTTCTAAAGAAAGTACTTCTCTGTGTGTAAACAGTAGTCAATACATGAAAACAATTCATTGGAAATAAAACCAGAGAAACAATTAATTTTCCGTGTTGTTTTATTTTTTATTTTCACATTTTACTCTTTTCCATACGAAAACTAGTGATACTATCAAAGCATATAATTTTTTGCATTGGGACCTTTTTAATTATTTTTTTAATTCTCTTTATTTTAAGCAAAAAGGTACCGAAAAAATATTTTCGAAACGTGCATTTCATTATTTAAAGGAGTTTGTAGAAATTTGGACTCTGAGTACACAATTTACTAGAGAAAATAATTTATTTCATAAAGAAACGAGATTTATACACTTTTTCAATATAAGGGTCTCACAGAACAAGTTCTTATGAAAAAAAATCACCCCTTTCCGCTACAACATTGCTATACCTTCTCTTTACTACGCTACTCTTTACTACCTATTGGAGGAGAAAGTAGAAATTTTGTCCCTCAAGAATTGCAGCTCACACTAGTAGGTTTAATATTGCCTGAGAAACTCCTCCAGTATCAACTCTGGAAGAATATGAGCCCAGTCAATTACATAGCACGTAGCTATCTTACTCGTGGCCCATGTTCACACGCCTACTTACCGCCGTTAACATCCAAGAGGTTTGAAAACAAACTAAACATATCCAAACATTAAAAAGTGAATACAAATTAAAATAAATGTTCTACATGCCTTAAATGCAGTACAGTAATAATTAAAATCATCCTAAATTTCGTTCAAACGCTCGATAAATATCAAAAAGATAGGGACGCAATTTCGTAATATGACACCAATCAGATTTTACGAAAGAGTGTGGTAAGATCCAAATACAAATTTCAATTACGTCTTTCATTTGATATTGTGAAAATAACATGAAGTGGGATACAAACAGTATATAGAAAGTTTTTAAACGAAAACTCTATCAATAACAAACACGAAGGTTTAAAAAAGTTTCGAAAGTAGAAGGACATCTACAATCTATTTTGAAAATTTTGTTGAAATAAGTCTAAGACCTACTTCAACTGTACAGCAATCTATAACAAAATGTTGAGTCTTAATTTCATGTAAAGGAATAGAATCCAAAATGAAATGGACAGTCTTGCTAGTCATTACGAATCAAAAGATACGTGTTACGAAATGAGAGAGTGCTGTGTGTTTATGCAAGGGAAAAGACGTATTCAAGAAAATATCTCACAACTTTTTTGTTATTGTTGCTACATCTGTGGTACGCTGACTGGACTGAAACGAAACAAACACTATCTTATTTCTCTCTTCCAAATATCTGTGCATCAAAGGATTTAAATGATTTAATGCAGAGTATACAGTGATCAATTTTAAAAATTAAGTAAACCACTTTTCAGTTCATAAAAATATTGAGCTTCTTGTTGCCTTACGTCTATCGTCTCGAGTACTAGACTGTTCGTTTCGTAATTGGTAAAACAAATATTTTCAATCTGATAATTTCAATAGAATCTCTTTATTAACTCGACAGGGCGCGATTTACATTAACATTCGCGATCAAATTTCCAGCACACAAGTTTCGAGACATATGTTTCAAGAATTAAATTTAGGTCACTTCATTCTTGCTTCTACCAAATATTTCGAATATTTTCCAATTTTATGGCATGGTGATCCGTCGTTAGATTTCTGAGTTATAAGGTAAACGATGTGTGCCTGGGGTAAATGTATAAGCAGACCAAGCATGAGCTTTGGCCTATCTAATATTTTTAAAGAAATGTGAAATTTTATTTAAATATAAACAAATATTTTATTTTTATTTCAAAGGGTAAGTTTATGATAATTGTATCCATTTTCATTATAAGTGTTCAATGTTTCAATATTATCAGGGGACCAATGGTTTGTTTGGCCATGCTTAGAGCACCCTAAAATATTAATCCGAGCCTGTATCAGTACCAGGAACAACGTGCTTGGGACACGTGCAGTATACTCGTACGTATACGCCACATTCCCGGGAACGGCTCGGGAACTCCTCCCGGTCTATGTCGCTCCGTCCGCGAACGAGCGCGTAACGGCGGGCCCAACTTCTGTCATCTCCACCTCGACAATCCGACTGGTCATTCCGCAAACAGGCGCGTCCATGCAGCGCTTCCAACTTCGATAACAGCGGGGAGGGGAGGCGGAACGTCATTCTCTCCCCTCACCGCCGTCGCCTTTCGCTCGGTCCCGGGGCATTGGAGCAGTTCGGAGAGATGAGGTACGAGGCAAGCTCATGGACAACGGTGAAGCGAGAGCGGGGATTCGGAGGGGGACGATTCCACCCTGGGCGGCGAACATTTAGGGGCCAACAATTTTTTTTCACATCATTAATTTTTTATAACATTGGAATGACTTTATCACAATTTGCCTTTCGTACGACACGGAATTTAGCGATAGTTTCTAATATTTCTCTATTATTATTATTATTATTATTATTATTATTATTATTGTCATGTCATACTAATAGTTTGAATATACAGGAAATGTATTTAACAATTCTCGGTGATTGAATTAATATGATAAAATCGTAGAAATTATTCACACACACACATACATACATACATACATACATACATACATACATACATACATACATACATTCACACACGTGTTGAATGAAAGACGAACTTACAACTCTTTGAACGGAAGCGCCACAGCTCTCTCATAGCTGCCTTATCTAGCCTAACCTGGCCCGCTATTGTTGTTTATTTACTATATATTTTTTGTTTATTTGTTTGTTTATTTATTTACTTATTTAATCATCATTGAGGGATAGAGAAAGTGTTCGAATAATATTAGGACGCCCGGAAATGCACAAGTTTATGTACGTCACCCTTCATTGGAAGGGGAATAGACTGCTTGCACGAACCTGTCAACTTCATCTAACTTCTAGATGTAGGCGATGAGACGTATCTAACAGAGAGTATATAACGCGTTTAACCACGCTCCCATAGCATGACGCAACTTTTCGTCGTCTTTTCACTGTAACTCCCGCTCATACTTCACACAGCTCTAACTTATTTAATTTTTAATATATTAATTGATTTATAAAGTAATTATACAACTAAATAAGTAATGAAATTATCAGATATAAAATAAATTGTAGAAGAGTCGTCTTCTAAGACTTGTGTGTAAGAACCAAAGGGACCTCTCCATTGACATAAGCAAACGTTTGAGTGTTTTTAGAATAGATTTTATGCCAGAAAAAGCACACCTAATCCAATCCATGCGGACATATTGCATAGCTCGCAGTCATTCTGGATTATAATCGTAAACAAACACAGAAATCAGATAAATAATGAGAACTGTGGATGCAAACAGATCATAGAAAACTTTTTCATTTTCCTTAGATTCGAACGTCTACCGTGAAATGTACTTTTTCTCATGAAAAGAAAAATCCATTCTATCTCCCTTATTCCGTATTTATAATTCAGGAACGAAAAAATAGTTAATTCAAGTATAACACTTTCATCGAAATAACATACGCTTTCTTGATTGTAGACACTTGATTATGAATTTTGGTTTCAAGAACAAAATATATTGTCACTCGTATCACATTTCAGTTTCCTTTTAAATTCTATTTTTAGAAGGAGTTCAGAAGGAATAGAGAATTCGTAACGGCTACAAATATACCGTATCGATCGAAATATACTGTAGTAAATTTAGTTTTTAGAACAAACGTTTATGAAGTTAAAAGCGTTCACTGCGTATTGGGTAAAGATTTTCAAAGAAATTTCTTTTTGAACGTATGCTCATAAGATCATGCTTCCTATTTTAATCAATGGATAATTCATTGAAGGATGGGCAGTTTTTTTAGTACAGAAGTTAATAAAAGAACGATTTATAAAATAATAACTTCTTTTTTAAATTTGACAGTCCCCCTTTACATTTTCAAAATCTAAATTTGATTTTGTTTTTTTGGATAAAGACTTTACGGTATTAATAGTTATTGTCGCTTACTGAAAAAGCTTTTCTTGAAATAAATTAAAGCTATAATAAAAATCAGGTAAAGCCTACAAAACTGTTTAACCCCAAATAGAGTCCCTTTATAATCATTGTTCTGAGTGACCGCTCTTCATTGTTTTTTATGTTAATATTAGTATGCATACCGAGCGAAGTTAGTCAGGGCGTAGCTAGCTGACTTCGCATTCGGAAAACCCGAGTTCAATCTCCTTGCCAGCCATCCTGACCATGGTTTTCGTGGTTTTTCTCGGTCGTCCAGGCGAATGTCTGGATGGTTCTTCTGGAAGGCCACAACCGCAAAACCGGGGTCGCTAGACGAATTCGTTAACTACGTGAAGTCACGAAGGTTAAGCAAATTCCAGACAGCGCGGGTTCCTGGTTGGGTGACCGCCCAGAAACCCCGGGATCTAACGGCGCAACAAGGCCAATTGCCCTTCACGGGACATATAATGGCTAAAAACAAAATAAGTATTCATGTTAATTTTGACAATTAATTAGCAGTACACCACTTTTAAAGGAACGCTCTAGTAGGAAAATCAAATTTATTTTCAAATTCATCGTAAAATAGTTGGCAGGCAGTGTGGATAATAATTTCAATAACTAAAATGTGTTCTATGTATTGTACAATATTGAACATTTATGTTTTGTATGATGTTATGTCCTTCTCGTGATCGGTGTATAGTATCGTTCTAAAATTCATTCTGTGCATTTAACACTTGAAAAGATACGACTAAAAGATTCGACCGCATTTTAACAACGAATGTAATATTCCTTCTCTAGTCTTCGTGACAGAACGATCGGATGCTTTGAAAAAAAAACGTGTCGTTTTGGTAACTGCAACCCCACCTCCAATTGAGTGCCATCTCGCTCCTGCTCCTGGCAATGGAGCGCAATGAGGGAACACGAGGCGGGCAGGGCAGGGCCGCCCGCGCGTGTGGCGCATGGGACACACACTGTGTCGGTGCACGCGCGCGCGGGTGGGCATTGGATCGATTTCGGAGGGCGGAGCGGGAGGGCACCGCTGTCCCCTGCCCCTCCCGTCTGGCTCTGCTCCGCCTTGCCCCCCCCCCCCGCCGCGCGTGCGCTACCCGCTAACGCCCCGCGTGGGACGACAGGGCTGCAGCAAATCGCGGAGAGCAGCCACCGGAACGTGAACCGTGTGCTCCGTCGCACGCGCCTCGCCAGCGGCCTGGAGCTGGAGCAGATCACCGTGCCCATCGGCGTGCTGCTCGTCATCTTCGAGTCCCGCCCCGACTGCTTGCCACAGGCATGTACCGCGCGCCTCCTCTCACTTTGAACCACTTCCCCTTACGCTCTCCCTAATATCTCCTCGCCCGCACCCACATCTGTCTACCCTTACCCGTCTCTCCTTACCTTCATTCCCCGCGCCATATCTAATCTGTCTTCACCTCTCCTTACAATTATCCACCTCTCCTTACCTCTTCTCAACCTTATCCACATCTCCTTGCTTTTACTCACCTCTCCTTCCCTTCACCGACCTCTCCTTACCTTTACCTAGCTCACCTTATTCTTACCCCTTCTTCTTACCATTACCCCGTCTCCTATGCGTACTCCGTCTACTTACCCTTACCATGTGTTCTTACCCTTACCCCCCACTCCTTAACTTTACCCTTATTATGTCCCTTTCTGTTTTCCTCTTCCCTTTTAAAGTCAATGTACTCTAGAATATATTATATGTATAACATTAATTCATTTTAAGGCCAAATGTTTCCTTTTTCATTGTTTTTATAAAGAGGCTTTTTTTTAAATCCGTATGATAAATGTATCATATTTGCTGCAAAAATAATTTTATTTTAATATCTTATATTTTCGATGATGTGACACTTGATATGTTATTTTAATATTAATAACGAATTTTTAACATATTACCGACTATATTTGCTGCAATGCGACATGAAATCTCTGGATTATCATGCCTCTCAAATACTTTGAAATTTTGTAAAAAACCTGGAATCCTAATTTCCATGGATTAAAACTGAGAATTGGTGAGTCAATTGCAAATAAATGTTTACTTGATATCGGTAGAAAAGGGCAAGATGAAGATTGATTTAACTATATTCTCATGTGAGTAATATTTGAAAATCATATTAGTAAATTTAACTTAAATAGATCGTTATTAATTTTGTTCGACGTGCTGTCTTGTACAATTATATCGTGTAGTATTATTTATTAATCTGACAAAATATTACAATGTGTATCATTTAAAGCTCTCACAATCTATATGTTTTCCTTTACATTATAAAGACTTTCATTTAATGAATAACGCATTCGAAAATAAAATAGAAATATGTGTTTCCTTTTAGTGCATTTTTCAAAATTGTTATCCAATTAAATAACAAATTGGTTCTTAACATAGTAAAGTGTTTCAATTAATTTTAAGTATGAATTTGAATTTCTTGCAGGTGGCTGCTCTGGCTCTGAGTTCAGCCAACGGCCTGTTGCTTAAAGGAGGCAAGGAAGCTGCCCACAGCAATCGAGCCCTGATGGAGCTGGTGACCGAATCCTTAGCAACAGTTGGCGCCGAGAAGGCCATTTCTCTGGTACGAATTAAGCAGTTACATAGGCGTACGCTGCCTGAAACAAGAGAGAACGATTTTATTTTTGGGCCCCTCTGGACCCCCTCTTCTCTTGACCTTTTTTATTTTCTTATGCCATATTTTACAAGGAAATAAATAAAGCATACAACAAGGAGAATGAGATTATGACTTTAATGATACGATTAATACAATTGATTTTGTGTTGGACCATTTTCAGGGTTGCCATGAGGTTTGAAAAGCCTCTTCCCCAAATTCCATGTATTAGTTTTCCAAATTGTCAACTTAAAAAAGGGGGAAATGAGGAATTTATCATATATACGAAATGAAAATGTTTTATTACGTAGTTACGAAGGGCTATGGACCCCTTTCGAACTTTTCAGAGGCTCGCCTACGTTCAGATCCTCCATTTTTATCGTTCTAATTATTGATGCATTTTAGAATTGTCTAAATTATTGTAGCATAGATTCAATTTTCAGTTCAATAAAACGTTTAGATTAGATAAGCAAATAAATCTCGTAACACCTGGCCCATAGTATATTTCTAAACATCGACCGCGAGTTATTCGAAATCGGTGCGTCACATGGTCTTCAAACCTGATTTTCAAGGCCGATAGCCTGCAGTAATATATCGGTTGGGGTGGCTCAGGGCATCAACCGATGGCACTGTAGTCTGACCGGGAAATCCTCGATTTCGAGTCCAGGCATTGGAAGAATTTTCGACACTAGTAAGACAGCTAAATAGAATTCAGCCAATGTCTAGAAGATAATTCTAGTAGTCGGCTGCTCTGACTCGTAGTTTTTCGTGGTTTCTCCAATCATGCTTTGTCCGATCCTCCAGGCGAATGCCGTAACAGTACCCTAAAAAACGGGCGATGAACCGCGGGCGATCTTTCCTTCCTCTTCCTTATCTTATCCTCACACCTCTCTTACACTCACTTATACTTATATGCAGTACAACACCTCACATGTTGGAGACCAGTACGTAGTTTAGAGCTTGTCCCGGCTACGGCAGTGCTCCTTTGGTGGGAGAATTCTTAAAGGGGGGAAACTCCCTTATTTACTTTCGGTTGTTTGTTAAATCCGTGCTATGTAATAAAATACTAAATAATAATAATAATAATAATAATAATAATAATAATAATAATAATAATAATAATAATAATAATGGTGTGGTTAACAATAGAAATTTAAATTTATTTTACATTGGTATGTTTCTGCAGGTATCAACTAGGGAGGAAATCAGTGATCTCTTGAGTATGGATCAACACATTGACTTGATTATCCCACGTGGATCCACAGAATTAGTTCGCAGTATCCAGCAAAGAAGTCAGCACATTCCTGTTCTTGGGCACGCAGAGGGCATCTGTCACGTTTACGTTGATAGGGATGCTGATTTACATAAGGCTCTGAAAATTGGTAAGATACGTTTTAACGTTTTATACTGTCAGTTTGTATTAAGAGATTGTCATTTTCGTGAAGTAAAACAGCATATTCTATTTGGGTTCCAAAAGCCAAATTTTCAACATCCATATGTATTTTGATTAGTGTAAGACAAAATTGAAATTCAATGCAATGGGGGATGACAGCAATGGTGAACGGTGTATAACCATGGTAAGAAGAAGGATTTAACATTGCCCATCTCCTAGAAAAGAAGTCAATAAGTACTCAAGGATTACATGACGAATAACGGCCGTGAGTTGAGGAAGTGAGCAAAGGAAGTATTCGATTATACAGCATATTCCTTAATTATTCCATTAAAAATATGTTTTACTCCACCAAGTGATAGCACAATTACTTGGTCACTATATTCAATAACTTATTTATTTTAAAACAACTTATATTCGTCGAATATACCTAATAAAACGAACTGAATCTATAAAATATGCGTTAAAGAATGGCACCTTTCTGATTCTTACTGTTCACCGAGATGGAAGGATGCTACTAGAACTAATGACAGAGAATCTATAGAAGAAATGGTTGCAATGGTTGCTTCATTTGTAGAAAAAAAGACGCTCATTAGTGTGCTAAAATTTCCAAACGCTTCTGGAGGCGCAGGCTTTTTGGTAGACAGTGTGGAAATTCTGTCGTGACACAACTGCCTCGAACTGGTTGCCTTAATGAGACATATGTCAACGTTTTCCAAAGATTAGAGAGAGAGAGAGACAGAGAGAGAAAGAGACAGAGAGAGAAAGAGACAGAGAGAGAAAGAGACAGAGAGAGAAAGAGACAGAGAGAGAAAGAAAGATAGATAGATAGATAGATAGATAGATAGATAGATAGATAGATAGATAGATAGATAGATAGATAGATAGAGAGAGAGAGAGAGAGAGAAAGAAAGAAAGATAGATAGAGAGAGAAAGAAAGAAAGAAAGATAGATAGAGAGAGAAAGAAAGAGAGAGAGGGGGAGAGCGAGAGAGAGTTTTGATAATAGGGGTTTCATTATTGTTATTTTAATGAAGAAATAGATGTATAGTGTAGGGTGTCATGCCGAGGACGTTGCTGTACATTTGCGGGTACATACATTATTTAGTTCACAATATTAGTTAATAGTTACTCAATGGTGTTTTGCATATGGAATATAATTGGAGTTAAAAAAGCTTGACTGTCAGGGGTCATGGGAGCAGTTGGTTGAGGTTGAAGATTGCGCGTATGTTATTGCATTTCGAAAGCCAGGTACATTTGAATTATTCATATTTGGAGCATGTAAAAATACCGGGGATTGATGGGAATAATGTGTGATGCTGTTGAAAAATTTGTTGAAGGTAAATGAGTTTCTTTTGGAATGTTCGATGTATTTAATCTGGGATAGCAGGTATTTTTTGGTGGCGGTCGGATAGAGAGGTGCTGTATAATACGTCGGGATATTAAAGAGATAGTTGGAACACACACGCCCGTTTGGTCTGTATTAGGATTCCAGATTTCTCGACGCCCAATTTACACATTTCAGTGATACGTCTTTAGGTAATGGACTCTGCGACCAATGATGTGATTCTGTGCATCTTACACAGTATGGTTGTCTTTACATTTATCTTTAGTATGCCCGAAATCCTGGCAACTCAGGCATTGCTCTGGTCTAAGACGGCGTCTGCTATCTTCTACTTTGATGGCATAATGTAAGAATCGTTGAAGCGACATTATTTCTCTGCTTTTGTCCGAGTATTCCAACAGAACTGACACACAAAATGGTGATTGTGGTTGTTATATCCTGTTCACTTTTTTACTGGGTAACGTTGAGAATTCAATTCTTCCAGTATAGCTAATTCATAAATAGTTGGTTAAATGTTTTTATTGACGACTGACAAGAGTTTGTTTCCAGGCAGTGTGCAAATACGATATTTCAATGCATTTTGCACAAAGTGTAGTGTTAGGGTTCAAAACTCGTCTCTTGTTGCCGTTTGGATATTGGTGCAAGTTTTATTACGAGTTTCTATGGACTAATCTAATAATAGGTTATTACTGAGGTATTTAATGATGATAATCTAATTCGTGATACAAAGATATTGGTGGAATTTTATTTTCGCGCGTCACGTAAGGAGATTATTTTCGGAAAGCTCTTCTGTTACCGACTCAAATCTCTTTTTAACAGGGACGTGTAAAGTATAATTTGGAGTGACATAAGATACGATTTTAGAACTGTTACTAATAAGCTCACAGGTTGTAGCAAGTTTTTGAGAGGTACCTACTGAGGAAGTAGAAATGGATGCAATTCCCGTTGTTATATCGTATCTGCACGACGTTACCTTACTGCATAACTTAGTGGTGCTGCCTTCGATGATGATACAGCGACACACAGAACTACGAAGGGGCGCCAGAAGGGGGACAGCTGAGGCAACTTGCTTCAGGCCCAATTTACGTACTTGAGGCTCAGTTTATTTTTAATCAAAACAAATACAAATGTATTTTTAATTTCTAATTCAAATCAACCGCTATGTTATTTATGCGACATGAAAAAATTATCTTCGTTTATGCACAGGAAAGAAGAGGAGAACTTTTCTTTGAAATGGGGGTTCCCCGTGCCCCCCAGGCCGCTTGTTTTCTCCTGGGCGCCTGTGCAGCTACGTACTGAAATGCCTCCGAGCGAGAAGAGAGATGCCTAAATCAGCGGTTGAAGCCACGTGGTTAACGCCCTTAATACAGTCTATTAACATACTGTGTTAATAAGCTGTGCCCTTAAGATCCCATACTTGGTTTTCTTGTCCGGCGCAATTGACCATGCAAAAACACACCGCGAACAGTCTGTTGTGAGGCGCTCCCGCGGTTGCTGCCATGAGATTCTAGGGGAAGAAGAAGATGAGGAGGAAGATGAAGACGAGGAGGAGGAAGATGAAGACGAGGAGGAGGAAGATGAAGACGAGGAGGAGGAGATGAAGACGAGGAGGAGGAAGATGAGACGAGAGGAGGAAGATGAAGACGACCGGAGGAGGAAGATGAAGAAGGGTAGGAGAACGATGAGACGAGGAGATGAAGATCGACGGAGAGGAGGTAACGATGAAGCAATAGAGGAGGAAGATGAAGACGAGGAGGAGAGATGAAGACGAGGAGAGGAGTGAATAGAGGAGGAGGAGTGAACGGGAGAGGCCGATGAAGACGAGGGAGTGAAGACACCGAAGAGCAGGATGAAGAGGAGGAAGGACGAGGAGGAAGGAAGGAAGAGAGGAGGAGCGAGGATGAAGAGGAGGAGAGCGATGAGAGACGAGAGGAGGACGCGGAGGAGGAGGAGGAGGAGGAGGATGAAGACGAGGAGGAGGATTATGTTGGGGATGAGGATTATGATCTTCTATTGGAATATTTATTTTTCATTCTACTTATTAATCAGTTCCTTGGGTAGACAAGGACTACTTTTTCTCCCCTAATGTTACGACACTACGTATGTACCAACTGGTTGAATGGGAGGTTGAAGTTAGTACATGTGAACTTCTACATGTGTGTGTAGATAGCCGAGGAACTGGATATGTACTCAACCTTCATTTACCCAAAAATAGGTCTTAAGACTATGCATCATTGAAGAGATAGGCACAGAGGATACATAGTTTTGTCAATGAATTATGCATTGTCACAGTTAATATTGGAGTTAATTGGCACTTAGGCTGTATAAGATACTATTTTCTGACATAGTGTGAGAAGAACAATACATGTTTACAGTCCCATATGAAATACTTTCAAGAAGAAACATGGCGCAAATAAAAAGTAAATTTAGTAAGGCTGTTTGAGTTTTGGAATTTGTCATGAAATATTTCCACAAAGAAATGGAAGTCGTGGGTTTTTTCGGTATGCATTCAGAATATATTTACAGAGGAGCAAAAGCTCTTACAATGTGATGTACATTGCTCTCAATTCAAAATTGCCTATAAAATCACATACACATTATTATTGTAATAGTAATAAGCATTATTTCTATTCTCAACATTGTACTGAAGAGATGTAATTTATTCTTGAAAATGTAAATTATCGTTGTACTAGAGTAGAAATTATTTATTAAGTATGTATTAATAAAATGGTTTCATCCCACAGTACGAGATTCGAAGTGTGACTACCCAGCAGCATGCAATGCAATGGAAACTCTTCTCCTTCATGAAGATCTGGTGAAGAATGGAAGTTTCTTTGTTGATGTCTGTTCAATGCTTAAAAAGGAAGGGGTATGATAATTCATTATTTTGTTTATTTTAATTCACTATGTCTTAGTGTGTTTAAAAGCGTCAAATCTATTCAGTTTCATTGCTTGAGAATGAAAATAAAAAGCTGAACGTTTTGGGTTGAGAGCCAGAGTGTAGTGGGGGGTTGCTTTGGGTCGCGAATTTAGAGGAACAGTAATTTCATAGCCAACCAATTTAATAAATTCTGTGACAACCAAATAGAGATGTAGGGTAAATAATTTTTGATTTGCAAATTACTGGAAATATTAAATAGAAGATGAAAAATTATATTGTTTCACATTCTTATTATAAATGTATGAGTAAAATTATACATTAATAGCATTGCTAAGAACTTAAGAGAGTTGGTTCAAGAAATAGCTATGAGAGTGGTATTGAAGAAATTTCACTTAAACTTTCTGTCTTGAGTGACATTTTCTTTAAAGACTTCGGAAATTTCAAAGAAATTATTATAAAAATACAATTTTGTTTCATCTCGAGTTAGATGTTTTAGTCTGCACTTTTCTCAAATTGTTCTTCATCATATTCTATTGAAGAGACAGAAACAAATTTTTCATAATTAATTTTATAGTTGTCTTTTGTTTTTTTCTCTTTTAGTTTTTTTAACCTCGTCAAATTTTTAAGACCATCCTTGATGGTTTTCAGTTGCACATCTGAGTCATAGATTTCCTTTAGCAAGTTCATGATCATGATTCACTTTTATAACTATTTTTATTCCTCAGTAATTACTAGAAAGAGGAATTTTATGCCCTTAAAAATCGTGAAATACGCTTTTAAAATATGCATTTATTACAAACATTTTGCAATATGCTCTTTAATATGCAATTAAAGTTAACAACATTTCATTTTCTCTATAAACCTTTCTTGATAAAATGCAAGAGATGCATGCTTGGAATGAAAAGAGTTATTTTTGTGTAAACATAATATAATCTATTCACGAGATAAATAATTGAAGATAATATTTACCTTAGTGAATTACATTGTATGTCATGTTGTATTTCTTCTGACTGGTTAAAAAAATATGTTATCAAGAAATATCCTACATTTGCAGAAGTATTTTATCATTTTAGAAAACAACAACAACAACAACAAATAAAACAATGCAAACTGTGAAAAGCTCTTTTGAATCATTGAATGCTATGAAACCAATACAGTCTATGAAATGATAAAACATTTTATAGATAAGTCTCTATTTTAATGAAATATGCAAAATATGTGCCTATAATAACACCAATATGCACCAACCGGAAAAATCGACTAAATATGCACTAACGTATAAAACCAAATTGCATCATATTATAGCCAATTGTCAAGAAAACTCACTTAGCTATATGCAACCGACAAAAATATGCAAAATCATAGAAATTAGCTTGCTAGTAATTACAATAATAATAGTATGTATGCTGTCACTATAAATAAATTGCATTCAGTTGCTTATATTGAAATGTGAAATGTAATTATGTCATTATTGTTATGAAATTGAAAACAATTCAGTGCTAGTGTTTTATAAATTGCCTATCATCTGGGTTTTTGTGAACATTAAGAGGATTTTGAAAAGACATCCAAAACATGAGAAATAACTTTTTGCAGTAAAATTATCTATTTGTTTTCTATAATATTTCATGAAGAAATTAAGTATTCATAGAATGGGTTTTGTTTTTTAGGTAACCATCTATGCAGGACCAAATTTGTCACAATTGCTGACATTTGGCCCTCCTCCTGCAAAGTCTCTGAGGACTGAGTATGGTGCCCTTGAATGTGCAATTGAAATTGTGAAGAGTGCTGAAGAAGCAGTGGATCACATTCACAACTTTGGCAGTGGTCATACTGAAGTCATTGTCACTGAAAATCGTGAGTACCTATTCTTCTTGCAATTTAATTCTGAATTTCAAATAATATCAAAAATTTGTCAATGTTATATAAAGTAAATAATACTTTATTATTGATATGGAGTGTATTAAATGTTACTTAATTATATTACTTTGTTTTTACTCTACATAAACTTAATTTTAAACTTAAGTTTTCTGGCATCTCTACAGAAACAATAGTATTAAATGCTTGAAAAATTGTATATGGAAATAACGAATGTGCAAAATTAATATTGTGTTTTGACTTTTTATTGAATTAATTAGTTTGATGATGAAATTTTATTTGATTATCCATCACAAACACCTAAAGTAGCCTACATATCTTTGATTTGTGTTAGTACATTTAGTGTAATATTACATTTTAATATTTCTTAAAAATTCAAACTCGTGAATATTATGTATTTTTGGGAACTAATTCAATCTGAGATTAGGACATAAATGTATGACATAGCTTAATAAAATACTTAATTAAAAATATATGGAATTTAATGAATTTACAACTGAACAAGCTATTGTAACTCATAAATATGACTCTTATGATAAATGACCAGTCATTCTCTTAAGGAACACCTGCACTGTTAATATATAAATTGAATATTTCATGATAAAGGGGTTAAAGCAAGGAGATTTTTCCCATGTTTGTGCTTTTTGTCTGTGAATATTTCATGTGAGAATATTTTATTGAGTTTTAAAGAAAAGTAATCACAAAAAACAGTATTGGAGCATGTTCAAATTAAAATTATTTGTGAAAAGGGACCAGTATTAATTTCCTTTTCTTAACATTTTTAGACATTTTTCAATTTTTTAATATTTATATCAAATTACTAATCGCTAGAGTATTGGAGAACCTACCCAGTTGCAAAATAAGGGGAATACTCATTATATGAGAGTTTGATGTTCCCTGTTGGAAAAAGTGTGTTGTATCTGCCTGGGGAACAATTAATCCATATCCTAACAGACAAGTACCTCACACAGGATTTACACACTTATGTAATATTCATGTAAAGGAATCTAAATTAAAGAGACCAGAATAAATCAAGAACATTCTTAGGATTTAATTATGCTATACCGTGTAAGCAAAGATTATATTTGTTTCATTCATCAATTCAACAGTTCAGCCTTCCTTGAAATATTTTATGTATTTCTGGAGAAAATTTCCAATTCATACCCAATAGCCTAGTACACCACCGCCTTGGTTTAGTGGTTGATATGTTTAGTCAATGATAATCCTACATCTGAAAGTCTTGAGATCATTTTCTCAGGGGATTTTGGGAGATTTTCTCTTTTGTTTTTGTGTACAGGGATGCATATTTCTGGGAATGAGATATTATACTCACTGATGATAGAGAACCAGCTCATTAAACAATGTGAAAAAAATAAGAATCAAATTTGTTTTAATTTTTGCTGACTTTCACATAACAGTGATGAAGTTCTTAATACATTTCCACTGATTGAAAAATAAATTCTTCCTCAGGAAGCATGCAAAAATTGAAGAAACAAAGAAAAAAGAAAATAATCAAGATTTTAATTTTATTAATTTTAATATAATTTTGTCTCTGGTCACATATTCCCGTACCTCAGTATCAGGTGCATGTAGTCCTTAAATGTCATTCAGTGATAAAATTACAATTTTATTAAATATGATACTAAGTAATTAATATTTGATTATTAATAATGAAATATAAATACCAAAATTAAATATATATTTTTCTTTTAGAGACAGGCAAAGTTGAGTCATTGCATATATGCAAGTGCATATAATGCAATATGCATATCATCACTGTGCAAGTTCTTTGCCTGCTTATATTATTTGATAGAGTGCAGAATGCCTTAATAATCATAAATTGATTCCTTTAAAACTTAAGTACCATAATACAGAAAGAGTGGTAGTTTACTCCCTTCTACAGAAAAGCTTTTATTTTTATTTTTTCCTTTCTTTTTTAAAAATTCTCAATTCATACACTTTATAATTGTCGTGTACATGCACATTTTCTTATTATTAACTTCATGAAAATAGTGTAAGCAAATACAACTTCTGAGTTTCCCTTGCATCTTACCAGGTAATCACTGTACTACTCAAAACACTTCGGTCATTTACTTACAATTTGTTAATTGGAAATTTGTCTCCAAGTTAAATAATTTGTTCCCATAAATATTTTGACCGAACATTATCAAAAATAGAGCCTATTAACCAACAGTTTGAAACAAAATAGTGTTTTTTTGTTTTCGTTTGTCTATTAACTTACATAATTGATGCGAAATTAAAAAGGGATGTTAATTTTTCCTCAATTTTTGTTGATTTTTGACTGTACCTATTTCATAGACATGAATTTTATACTTTTCATTACTCGGTTTTCTAATGTACGTATAAAACGTGACTTATTAACAATTGTAAGATTTTGACATATCGAACAATAACTAGGATTTAGCAGCAATAACCATTCCGGGTGCATATTTTCTCGTTCGTCGAAGATTCGGGCCATGTAGTCCGGGGAGTCGAGGGCTCGGTCAGGGAAGCGCTGACACACCTCCCGTGCTGGCACTCAGAAACTATCGCAACGTTCCTAGAAGATGCCGAAAGTGATGTCCTTTGGCTCTAAAGCATTCTTGCACAATTCCGAATCTTCGGCGAACAATGAAATAAATGTACACCCGGTATAAAACATATTATGGAATTTATTAATATCCCTAAATTTTTGTTGGTAGTATACTACACAAATGTTTCAGATATATATTCTATTTACGTGGGTATTAAAGATCTACCTACGCATTGGGATCCAAAGTAACATTTATCTTATTACAATAGTTAATAATAATTACTCATGCTAATTAATTAAATAATTCGTGCGTGTGGGTGCGAATCTATGCATCTCATGTAAATTTAGTTTACATTGTTATACGTTTTTACGAAAGAATATATCTTATGGGAATTTAATTTATTATGGGGGAGTTAATTGATTCAATTCTGCTTAGCCTAATATTATTTGAATCGAGGTATTGATTACGATTATTTACAAAAGTAATTGATAAGTCGGTTATCAAGGTTGAAATTTATGAAACGTAAAGTTCCGAGTGTATTTGGTTAATTCTGACGTACTAAGAACCATTCATGGATAGATCTTCGACCGCGTGAACCTATCAAAAGCTTTCATAAGTAATGGTCATGAACAAAATTCAGATTGAACGATTGCAAAATTAAAACATAGCAAATAATGCAAGTTGTCAAGTATTGCTTTTAACGAGTAAAGGTAGAGAGAACAGTTAAAAGAGATGAATCACAAGTGGGTTGCATGTTTTCACAACATCATCATGTGTATGAAGCTGTTTTTATAATGAAAGTTAACGTTGTAGGTAACGATAACATGGAAATTATAACCGGGTCGACGTCATTCACGTAGCGTAACGTCAACATAAACAGGGACTTGAAATTTCACCGCCAAAACCAAGTGGTGTTACAACCGAAAATACGTTCTCGGATTATTTGTAACGGTTACACAGTATTTTAATACAATATAAACCTGCAAAAGTGTTTTGAACCAGGAAAAAAGGCCTAGGATTTCCACTCGGGTTCTTCAAGTTAGTATACACCACCACCCTCATTCAACCTTCACGACAGTTGAAAAAAAATGAATATATGCATTTGAAATCTTCAAAAATCCATTTACATTATTTGAAGATTTTCTTTTAAAAAACAGATTTCACTAAGAAAAATCTATACCATGAGTATTGTAGTTTGAACGTTAAATATTTGTTTGCAGTTTTCGAAAGTATTGTAAGTTCGCCGAAAACTGGACTTGTGCCATTTTTACTTTCGCGTCCTACTTTGTAGGAAAAGAAAACATTTCATCTTGTACCGGAAATTGGCGATTATTCGTCAAAAAAACTCTCATCGCAGGATCTTGGCAACGAATATTAGATAAATTACTAGATATAGTAAATTACTTATTCTATCAAATTGTGTAGTAAGAATCCATGTTTTGTGGGACCTTGATACCTAAAAATCGATTAACGTCTGTCGAAAAACGTCTGTCTGTGGTCAACCCTAGCGCCCAAACCGTAATCACGATTTACTTAAAAATCTCGATTTTGCAACCGCACGTGGTCGGTTCTGAGGAGTACGGCTGACTTCTGTAGATTACGGTGAGATTTCGTCTTGTTGTTTATGTCATTGTTCGTGAAGCTTTTTATGCAACAGTACATGTTACGATTACTGTTGTTGCAGATATAACAACTGCGGTTGTTCTAAATTTTGGGGGCGAATATTTGATTTAATATTATTTCGGTATTCATTTGCTTGGTTTTTTTATTATATTATTTCAGTATCTGTACTGCTGCTGTTTATCGTAGGGAATGAGTTAGAAATTACCTCCCCATAGAGCAGTTGATAGGAAACAGCAACAATTTGTTAAATTATGTTTTAATATTTAATGTAGCACATAGTAAACAAGAAACTGTACTCTTTGAAAACGCATTCCACGCGGTGCAGGAACGACAAACCGTCCGTGAGAGAGTATTTAGTGTTCTTGGGCGTGACAATTTCTATGGACATTCGTTACATGAGTGTAGTGCATATTGGTATAACCAGGAAGTTGGCGGTGACATCCAACGCCGACCTTCTCGTCAGCTCCAGGTATCTCACCTATCGATGCAACTCTGTAACCAGGACAAACTCTCGATTGGTTTTCCGACGTGTGATAGTGTGTTGCATGTGTGTGTGTGTGTGTGTGTATGTGTGTGTGAGGGGAGAGGAGTGGACAAGGATGAGGAAGGGAAGACCGTAGACTCTCCATGGCCCGTTTGTAAGGGCCGTGCTTCTTCTGATATTGGTCCGGTAAACCGCGAAAAGATACCGAACAGAGCGGTCAGCCTTTAGAATTCATTCTCCAATATGGATTCCCACTGAATTCAAATTAGTGATGAAAATCTGCCACCGTCATGTTCGTCTGGACGCCGTACAATATTTGTCTGGACATTGTACAACGT